TATCGCAGCTTTCCAATCGGCACGCGGGGTATTGGAGAGGCTTGCATTGGATCGCCCCAGATATCCCTGGCTCGCAGAACGGTGAACCCTGAAAACGAGACGACGAGAAAGACGCGAGACATGCGCCGGGCCAGTTGGATGCCTGTGCGGCCCGCCGTCCCAACCAGGCCATTCTCTTACTGGTCGCCGTGATCACCGCCGCCGCGCCGCAAGCCATCGTTCAACTACACTTGGACGCACTGGGGGGTTGATTAGCCAGCCCAGTCCAACATTACACACTGGTGCGATTAAGGGCGGGGACTCAAACGTATATACCTATGCGCTGCGCTCCCACACCGTTAAGTTGTTCTTGACCGAACGAGCAACCATCCCATCTCCGTCACTGAAGTTCGTCAAATCTTTGTCGTGTCGGCTCTTCACTGTGGTTCGGCACCGAGGAAAACGATCGTGGAGGTGGCGCATTCCCCTGTCCCCTTATCCGGGAAGAGATCCGGTTCGACCTGTTGACTACGACCGGACCCCCTTTTCCGACCTTCACTATGGGCGGCGACGACAGACGACCGAGTCTCTCCAGCATGGAGCAGACCAGTACCAAGGCCAAGTTGGGTGCAGTTTCGGGTGTCTATATCCCCGTCTGTCTCAATATCTTCAGCATTCTCATGTTTCTCCGTTTTGGCTGGATTCTTGGTCAAGTTGGGCTTTTGGGCATGCTTGGTTCGTCAGCTACTAACACAGACGCGCTCACTCCGTCTAAGCCTACACTAACAAAAAAAACCACAGGACTACTCGTTACGGCTTATCTTGTAGACTTCTTGACAACGCTCTCTCTGTCTGCTATAGCTTCAAATGGCGAAGTCAAGGGCGGAGGCGCCTACTACGTAATCTCGCGGTCTCTTGGCCCTGAGTTTGGCGGTTCCATCGGGATGCTCTTCTACCTCGCTCAGGTCCTCAATACCGCTCTCAATGTTGTTGGTCTCATTGACTGCATAAAGCTGAACGTCGGGGGGTCTTTTCCCCAAGGCTACTGGACTGTCTACATGCTCCAAACCTTGGCTTTGCTGCTCTGTGCTGGATTGTGCTTGGCCGGGAGCGGCATATTTGCCAAGGCTAGCAATGCGCTGCTTGTCATATTGAGTCTCGCCATTATAAGCATTCCGATATCTTCCGCGTTTAAGTCTCCCTTCCGAGATGATGGACTTGGTGTACGATTCACCGGCTTTAGTATCGAGACGTTGGTGGACAACTTTGCTCCCCATACAAAAAGCGAGTCTTTCAAAGGATTTGAAACTTTTCGAGAGGTCTTTGCCATCCTGTTCCCAGCCACGTCAGGAATCTTCGCAGGGGCTTCAATGTCTGGAGATCTGGTAAATCCTAGCAAAGACATCCCGAAGGGAACTCTCTGGGCGATGATGACCACCTTCATTGCGTACCTGGTTGTAGTCTTCTCCATGGCTTCCACCACAACGCATGCTTCATTTCTCAACAACACAAACATTATATCGGTCACGAGCTTGTCCCCACCTTTGATCCTTGCAGGAGAGTGTGCCGTCACCTTCTTCTCCGCCGTGATGGGACTCATTGGTGCTGCCAAGCTCATGCAAGCCCTGGCCAGAGACAAGTTGCTGCCCGGTCTGCTGCCATTTTCGAAAGGAACGAAGAGGGCTGATGAACCAATTCAAGCCATTATCCTCACATATGTGCTTGCCCAGATCGCCATGTTCGCCAATTTGAACCAGATTGCGACTTTAATCTCCATGGGCTATCAGGTGAGCACCCGCTTACTCAGTCTAGACGAAGCTGTTTGGGACTAACAGAGAGCAGATGACCTTCTTCGTCATGAACCTGGCATGTTTCCTACTCAAGATAGGATCAGCTCCCAACTTTCGGCCTGCATTCAAGTTCTTCAGTTGGGAGACAGCTTTTGCTGGCAGCATCATGTCTGCAGCGGCCATGTTCTTCATCGACCAGACTTATGCGGCTACTGCAGTCTGCTTGCTCATCTTTCTCTTTTCCCTGATTCACTATCTCAGCCCACCAAAGCGATGGGGCGACGTCTCGCAAAATCTCATCTACCACCAAGTGAGAAAGTACTTGCTGCGATTGCGGCCGGAGCATATCAAGTTTTGGAGGCCCCAAATCATTCTGCTCATCAACAATCCTAGGAGCCAAACTCGACTGATTCAATTCTGCAACTCCGTAAAGAAAGGCGGTCTCTATATTCTCGGCCACGTCATTGTGACGGACGATTTCAACAGCGGCGTTCACGAAGCCAGACTTCAACAGGCAGCATGGACAAAGTACATCTCGGAGTTCTCCCGTATCAAGGCCTTCGTGCAGCTTACAATGTCCCCAACCATCACCTGGGGTATCCGAAACTTGATTCTATCGGCTGGGCTAGGGGGCATGCGGCCAAATATTGCTGTCATGGGATTCTACAACATGGACGAGCTGCGAGATTCTCGACCTTCTTTCCAGGTTCCGAAAGCACCGAGCTCGTCGCACATGAACGCCCGCCCTCAGGCCAAAGCCAAAGAGAGGCCTTCACGCAGGAGACGAGGCGACACATCAGCGCGTCTGATGGAAGGCATGCTGCCTACGGATGTGATGAAGACAGAGGGCATGATGAGTGTGACCAATTACATGACTATGTTGGAAGATCTCGCTCTGAGGTACAAACTGAATGTCGCAATTGGCAAAGGCTTTGAAAATCTGGAAACGCCGCGCAAGGACAAAGCCAACGTCAAGAAACATCTCGATCTCTGGCCGATACAAATGTCGGCAGAAGTTCTGTCAGATGGGAAAAGTGTCTTGACAACCAACTTCGACACATGTGAGCAGGATTGTTGTTTCAATACGAATTTCGCTGATACATTTGCAGATACCTTGATTCTCCAACTAGGCTATATCCTCTACAGCGTTCCGACATGGCACAAAGTATACAATATTCGCGTCATGGTGTTTGTGGAGTACGAAAGTGAAGTGGAAGAAGAAAGGGCGCGAGTCAAGGCCTTGCTAGATAAGCTGAGGATCGAGGCCGAGGTCATCGTGTTTTGGCTGGCTTCCGGACACCTCAATACGTATGAGCTGATCATCAACGGCCAAAGTAACGACCTCGAGTCTCAGATTATGGTCCACGATATACTAAAGGATGAAGAGTGGTGGGACGACCTGCAGAGGTTCCGAGGCCGTGAGCCAAATCTGAACTCAACCGAAGAGCTTACGTCTTTCGCGAATATCATCGAGTCAACCGCAGGGCGGCCTGGCGTGTTCAACCCGCATGTATCACTGGACGATATTGAAAGTGGACGGCGACCAAGTCTGGTGCACTTTGGGGAACTGCCCAGGAAGCCGACGGTTTCGAGGTTGTCCCGCCTTGGCGTCAGTGTTGGAATTCATACGTCTCACTTGGGAGATGAGGTTTTTGAAGACGCCTCTGGCTCCGACGGTGAGATGAGTGATCAAGAACAACAACCATCTTGCCTTGATTCCGATTCTGAATTTGAACCTGGCAGCAGTGACTACAGCGAGGACGAGATGCCAGAGGTCGACGCTCCCAGGCGGCCGTTGTTACTTGGGCGAGGACGAGGGCGAAGCCAGAGCGACGACCTACTCACGAGTCCATCGAAACAAAAAAGGAGCAAATCGAATAAGAGCGCTGCACCGGCAGCATCATACGGCACGATGGTGTCACAAGCTCGTTCTGAAGGTCAGGCGGGCCCAAGCCACGTGGGAAGGGTCGAAAACGTGTCAGCGCCTCCAACTCCGCTGGAACGACCTGTGCTTGATCGAAACATATCTGCTCGTTCCATGGGCGGGTTTCGGTCGGCGGGTATCAACACTTACGATGCGACCTCGGGAAGTGTATCAGGGAAAGCAACCCCAGCAACGAGACCAACGCTCTCTCGACAATCATCAGCAGTGAGGTTCTCAAGTCGTCCAATGCCGGAGACCAGAACCGATGTGGAGGGTGCGTCTGGTCCGACAATCATGTTTGCAGATACCACCGAGGAAGAGACGCCGCGGGCGGAACAACCCGCATTCTCAAGACAGTCCTCTGCAGGACGGTTCTCCAGTCGGCCTGTGCCCGAGATGACGGTGACGGCGGCTGAAGAGTTCGAGCCGAATAGTACGTTTGCGGAACTCTCGTGCAGATCACGCAAAGCTTCGGTCGCGTCTACTGTAGATCTAGGCGACGTCCACATGAACATGGCGGAACTTGTGGGACGCTACAGATTAGACTCGAGACCCGACGCAGACGGGCCCGGCTCGCCCTACTCGACGCAAGGCATCTCGCTCTCGTTCAACGATTTGCCATCGCGAGCGCAGCATGTCATCCTCAATGAGCTGATGCGGCAAAACAGCAAAGATACAGCCGTCATGTTCACCACGTTGCCCGTGCCCACGGAGGGGACTTGCCAGGATGAGCTGGCGAGCGTGCAGTATCTATCGGACGTTGAAGTCCTCTGCCACGAGCTCCCTCCCGTCATGTTGGTCCTGAGTAATAACATGACTGTCACGGTTGGGCTATAGTCTGAACTCGTGGTGGGGCAATGTCTCAAATCCTGCGAGGGAGAACATCCATGATAAGGTCAAACCACGCGGGGGTTAATTCATACTTTGGCGTTTATTTTTTTTCCAGCGTGTCGGCGGCTTATGTCGGGGATCATCACCCGGAACAAAGGAATGTGGTGGTAAACTCTTTTGGGGCCGGCCACATTCCTCAGTGTCTTTGGCCGAAATGAGAAGCTATTCAACTAAGCATTCTTTGTCTGCCAGCGACCGGACCACCATGATGGGCTTTCGCCTGCAGCCTTTACAAAGAGTTTCCCTCGACGGTGCATAAGCAGCTTGAACTCTCGCCATCCAGGTTTTTCTTCCCCTACCTCGGATGTCTGTCAAGAGGAGTGGTTTTCATGGAAGCCTCTTTTGAAGCCATGGACATTAAACACCCAACCCCGCCGGCATTGCCTTCCTCATGGACAATCCCTCAAACAGTCAACATGAATGATCATGGAAGGAAATCGACTTGGACCACGCAATTGTCGCCGTACCTGAAAGGCCTCAAGATAAAGAACCTCATGACGTCTCCTAAATCACCAAAGTCACCCAAATCCCCAAAGTCGCCAAGGTTTCCACTTTCACCCAAATCGCCGAGATTCCCTCTATCACCCAAATCACCCAGAACGCTACCGCCAAAGCTTCTCGACGAGGACTCGTCATTTCGAATTATACATACGCCTGACAGGCCGGAACGACCGATATCAAAACGGGCCATCCCGAATGACGAACAGTGCATGGCATTCCTTATGTCTTTGCAGAGACAAGAAGAACACAAGAGGGGAGGCGTCAAGACGGGCCTCAAGATGTGGCCGTACCCGGACGAGCAGGAGGCCGAGGACCGTAGGTATCTGCGGAGCGTGAGGGTCGAAAGTGTGCACTTGGAGGAAGCTCGTCTCGCGAGAACAAATTCCTCCGGCCCGGCCAAGGTTGTGGAAGTGGGCAGAAGCTCGACCAAGTCGACGATGGCATCACGGCGATCATACCACACCAGCACACCCAGTGTTAGTGACGCAGGGGACGTCGAAGAAAAGCCCCGATGCGGTCTTACAGTGGCCGTCGGTGTTGCCCTCCTCTCTCCACCGCCGACTGTGCCCCGCAGTCAATCAAGGCTAAGCTTTCACACGCCAAAAGCCAATACATCTCGCTGGTCCGATGACAGCATCGAGTCCCTCTTCTCGTCGAGAGACATGGACTCGCCATGCCCTCAGCGAGTTACTGTCCGCTCATCCTCCGAGGCGCTGTCACCCACTGTCGTCGGGGACGAGTCTGTTGGCTCATACTCGCCTCCCCTTCTGACGCCAGTGAAAGATCGGCCTGCTACACCGTTCACGGACCCTCGTCTACGGGCGACATCCGAACCGATGACGCCTCCGCCTTCAGATCACATTGTTCACCAGATGAACATAAGCCCTGAGCCGGTGCCGCGGAAGTACTCATGGCGCTCTTCCAAAGATACGATCCTCAATACAGGGGCCCCGATATCAAGATTCCAGTCGTGGCTACCAGAAGCGCGGCCGGAAGAGGATTCCGAGGGGGGACAGCAGCAACAACAGCAACCTGAGCCGGAGGTCTACGGCGAGTGGGCGGATTACTACTTTGAGGATGGGAATTTCTGGGATGACTATTCGGACGGCGATGAGGAAGGAGATGAGACTAAGGTAGAGGAAGAGGAGGATATCGACGCCATCGAGAAGGAGGAGCAAGAAGTCGGCGACGAAGAAGAAGAAAAGGAGGAAGGGAACGAGGGTCAAAAAGACCGGCTTCGGGTCGACGATGAGGAGGTTTATCCGCGCTACGAGAGTTTTATCAAGGATTACAAGAACAACGTCATGAATATCACGGTTACGGAGGTGTGAAGGTTCTTCTTCGACGTTACTTATTTCGCCCATTCGGATTTGGGGAGTTTTACGGATGGGATGATATCTCAATCACCTTTCAGGGGTTTGAGACATTGTAACAGTATTGTACGAATTTGAGATTTAGTCGCGATTACCCACTCGTTATTTCGGAACAAAAAGAAAGCCTTTATGATTTATTACCTTTTGGGTCGCCCTGATGCTTCAATATTATCGATGTCTCTGTAATGTTCGTGTCACATGACATCACTCAACTCCCTTGGGCTAACAACTTAGATGAAAACTGACCGAACCGCGCTAATAGGCTAAGTACAGGAGCTCCATACATCACGACGGAGACTGAGAGTCGAAATACCGCACCTAACAAGAGCATCTTGGGATGCCTCCATCCCTTGACTTTGGGTACTACGAGGCGATGTCTCTAGCCCCTAAGCGATACCAACATCCTTCCAACTCGCTCGGTCGAGGAAACCCCCCATTTTCGAATCCCCATTATGACGGAACCGAATAGAGTGACACGATTGATTCCATCGTCGTATTCTTGGACATTCCCCCCCCCCCCCCCCCCCCTAAAACAAGAAAAGATCGATGTTTTCACTTCTAATATTCGACCTGGGGGAGAACAGGCTTATCGGGATCAACCCAGTCCGTAGGGCCCTCGATACCGGGCCTGCAGGCATGGTGAGCCCTTTCCCACCACTGCTGGGTCCAGATGCACGGGCCCGGCGGAAGGCCGCCCCTGCGGGCAGCGTCGTTGCAATACCTCCAGCGGACGAGGGCCTCTCTGCACAGTTTCCGCTCCGGTTGGTTGCAGCACCTTCTGCGGTACCAGGTGTAGTAGGAGCGGTTTGCGTCGGCGTGGTCGACGAGGCAGAGAAGGGCTGCGAGGAGGAGGACGAAGTGGTGGAGTCTTATGTGCATTTTGTCGGAGGGGTTTGGTTGTGAGTTGGGTTTTTGCTTATTTCGTTTTTTCTGAGAGTTGAGTGATTGTTTGTTTGGAGCTGAGGTATGGTGTGATTTGATCCGGCGATGTGTGGTTTGGTGACTTGATAGCAAGAGTTTGATGGAGAAGTTATTGGATTGGAGGAGGAAAATAGGATGGATTGTGGAAAACTAGGTGCTTTCCTGAAGTATGCCGACAGGAAGAGTCTTCAGAGGAAGTGGAAGCTGTGTCTAGTTTGGAGGCCAAGATAGCCATTAGTGAACCCTGATGATATGATTCTACAACCTTGACGGAACCGATGGGGAGTGTGAGGCAATCTAGGAATCCCGTGCGACTGCAGAATTTAGAACCATCATGGTTGAGAGCCGTGTTAATTCAAGTCAGGCACGGGAGACAGTCGGGTTCTGTTCATTCCGCCCACCGACAAGAGTGAAATAAGACACTGGTTACCCGTACATACTAAGTACCCCTGGAAGCTTGGAACTCTTAACATATTTCACCAGAAAGACCATTGTTTCTTCCACTATCCAGGCCTCCAATGCACCGACGATGGCTTCACTAAGCTCGACCTCCCGCGGTGTATGCGGCTCGGTGTGGCCCAAGCTCCAAGCTCCCAAGCTCCCCCAAAACTTTCACCTCACACCTGGTTTACCCTTTCGTCTTCCTCACACAAACTTCATCCCATCCACGAATTTCCTCACGCCATCTAGTCATCCTTTCCCCTCATGACGCGCAATGCAGTGAGTCAGCGGCCGGAGAGAAGAAACACACAGAAAGTAAGCGTGCGCGCACCGCGGTAGATGCCTCGCCTACCGCCCTGCCTCTTCCGCCGCGCCCACGCCATCTCACCCCATGCCGCCGTCCTCCTGCCGGCGTGCCGCGATGTACCCTCCGCGGTGACCGAGCTTCGCTGGATCAGGTCGCACGTCGCAAGCAGCGGTAGGCAGCCGTCATCAAGAGCGCTTCTGCCCAGCCAAGATGAGCAAGAAGCCCGCGTCGCACGCCTCTGCGCAAAACGCGGCCGCGGCGTGCCCCTGCAGTACGTCCTCGGCTCCCAGCCCTTCGGAGCACTCGACATCAAGTGCCGGCCCGGCGTGCTCGCCCCGCGCGCCGAGACGGAGGCGTACGCGATCCATCTGGCCGACATGGTCACGCTTGGCCAGCTGCCTGGTTTCGAGAACAGAGAGCTGCGGGTCGTGGACTTTTGTACGGGCACTGGGTGTATCGCGCTCGCGCTGTACGAGCGTCTTACACGATGGGCCAAGAAGCTCAGCGTCGCGGGCGTCGATGTCTCGCCCATCGCTGTCAATCTCTCGCGAGAAAATTTGCGGCGCAACATGGCTACAAATTCACTAATACCGCCGTCTCCCGACAAGGAGGTGACTTTCCGAAAAGCAGACGTCTTCCAGGAGGCTGATATGCAGTCGCTTCAACGATGCGATGTACTGATATCAAACCCGCCGTACATATCACGCAAGATTTGGACCTATGGTCAGGGCCAGATGGGCTACTCTGTGCGAAAGTACGAGCCGAAGCTCGCGCTCGTGCCGGGGGAGATGGTGCCTACGTATGAGGGGTGTGATCATGCCGACGTCTTTTACGCCAGATTGCTCGACATTGGAAGTCGGCTACGGACGCGAGTCTTACTATTCGAGGTGGGAGATGAGGAACAGGCTCTTAGGGTTGTCAAGCTCGTCAGACGCAATGACTTTACGAAGCATGCTCTGTGCGAGCTCTGGAGGGACTGGCCAGACTTGTCGCCCGAAGAAGATGAAGTGAGTTCATTCCATGTCGATGGGGAGATGATTACTGTCAAGGGCAGCGGGAATGTTCGATCAGTCCTGATTCGTCTATGAGACTGAGTTTCAAAAAGCTTGGATATATACGCATTTGAAATACCATCCCACATCAGAATATGTCAGGCGCTTCCCATATTGCAAGAGAACAAATAATACGGCACAGAGTAGTCAAAATCACCATTTTCGACTTCATAAGGATGATGTGTGGCAAAAGCAAAAGGTTACTGCCCAGAGGCGGATTCGAACCGCCGTCAACACGGATCGCTGTATAGAAGAACCACAACGTATCATCCTAACCAACTAGACGATCTGGGCCAGTGGTTATTGATGGGAACTTAGGTCTGGTGACGATCTAAGGATCGTTTGGCGATTGAGGGTGGGGTTTCTGCCGGTTTAGCGCCTGAGACCCCCTAATCTTTAGCAGTCGCTCAGCGGGCCCAACGTCTGTAACCGCTGGACCTCTCCTCGGGGCGCTTCTACATGCGTGCCTCAGCTGGCTCACTCCCGTCTTTGCGGTTCACAACTGACAGCTTTATTGAAGGAGACGAGGCACCTGAACCTGTGTCATGAAACAAGGGAAGCAACGGCGATGAAGTCATTTCCCGCGAGGAATCAGTGGTGTTTCCAGTCTGATTACACAGAGACATCGTGTCTTTGCTGCCCACGATTCAGCTGGACCCTGTGCGCCTCAAGTCATTGAGATCAGACAAGCGGGGTCCAGATGGCGTAAAGAAACATTCCAGCCATGAGCTTGATCATCAACGGTCGGTTGCGCGTGTGCAGCCGTCGGCACCCTTCGGACCCAACGATCCGGGTTGTTCCTGAGAATTCAAATTGCGCGTGGAAGCTAGAGAATTAAATGAAAGGGGTCTTCCCTTGCAAGCCACACCAAGAGACTGCGCCATGCCGTGGTTCTTTTGGAATGAGGCCGGAACGGCAGCGGGAAAGGGTCCAGATGTGATGAGTGGAATGCTAGAAACGTAGATCAGCTCCTGTCATGATTGACGGCGTCTGAGGTTCCTTGCGACTTGGATTGATAGTAAAAAGTGAAGGCGTGGGAGAACTGCAGCCTGGAAAATGAACCTCTTCCAGGATGATCGGATTGATCTCGATGTTCAGCTTCACATGATTGCTGTATCAACGTGAGTTTCTCGTGACAATCTGATACATGGGCACACCATTTCACGGGCGAGGAGACTCTTCGACTATGGAGACGAATCAAGGTAGAGTGCCAGGATCAAGATTTCGGCTATCTCATCACGCCGAATCAGATCGGAGGCACCGTATCTTATCCGACATCAGCTTCGGGCGGGGTATAGGCTTCGACTCCGGATCGCACTCACATCAATAATTGAGTGTTTCCCAAAACATGGCATCCGGAAAGCACGTTGTCAAGCCATCCTCGCGAGCCTTGGCAAATTTGGAGTCCGGAGGCTTCATCGACTTGGAAAATGAAGCCAGTAAACTCCCGCAGTACGACCCAGCTACGTGCCCTGATGGAGTCATTGACCTCTCCGGTGCCATCAATGGTTTGATGGGCGATGTTCTGGCAGAAGAGATGGACCGATTTTCCAAGGCTTACGATTTTGTGAAAGGCATGAGTAGCTTGTAGTCTGGTCGAGAGTTTGAACTGACATGATCTTACAGCAACTCGATACGGTGATGTTATGGGACCGAAAGGTGAGTATTAAGTATATTCCAAGCCTTTATACTATTTGCTAATAATAGGTCGATAGAGCTAGCCGATGCAATGAGTAGCTTTGTGAATCGCTATTTCGGTCCTGCGCGGTCAGTCACATCCGTTGACATACTGGTGACCAACGGCGTGACCTCACTCATAGACATGATGGCATTCGGAATGTGCGATCCAGGCGAGGGCATCATGGTCATCACTCCAACTTACATAATGTTTCCCCACGATCTGTGCGCCAGAGCAGGCGTCAGCCTAATCAAGGTCAACCCCGAGCCCATTGAGAGCCAGTTTGACGAGAAGTCTGCCCCTTTGCTCATTGAAGCAATGTCCAGAGCCTACATCGCAGCTCTGGCAGACGGTATTGTCCCCAAGGCCCTCCTCCTCTGTAACCCGAGCAACCCCTGCGGCCGGACCTACCCAAGCACTTCCCTTGTCGAGATTGCGAGATTCTGCGGACAAAAGAACATGCACCTTCTATCCGACGAGATCTACGCCATGTCGACCTTTGCCGGCACAACGGACGCAGATGGACAGGCGCTTCCCCCATTCACCTCCGTGCTAAGCATACAGGATGATCCACCTCGCGGTGTGCTCGCTGAGAACATCCACTGCATGTACGGCGCAAGCAAAGACTTTGGCTGCGGCGGTCTGCGGCTCGGATTCCTCGTGACGCGGAACGAGCTCCTCTGGCGTTCTCTGAGGAGGTTAGTGCTGTTTACATGGGTCTCGACTTTCTCGACTGCATTCTTCACGCACTTCTTGCTTGACGAGGAAGCCGTCGGTAGATATCTTAAGATCTACCGTGAACGACTCGAGGCGCAGTATAGGTTGACCACGCAGTTCTTGAAGGAGAGCGGAATTCCATTCGTGCCGGCCAACAGTGGGGTGTTCATCTTCATCAAGCTGACGGCTTGGTTGGATCACGGTGAGAATTCGGCTGAACGCGACGCAAGCCGCGAGATGAGACTCTGTCGATATCTTTTGCATGAAGCAGGTGTCTTTCTCAGTCCTGGAGAAGTAGGTCTTTCATGTCGACTAAACTGTAATGAGATGATTGACATTCACATAGCTCTCCCTATCCACGGTTCCGGGCTGTTTCAGATTGGTCTACACCGACAAAAGGGAATTTATGCCCATAGCTATCCAACGGCTAGCAAAGGCACTGGAAGAGCTCAAGTTGCGTCCTGCATCACAGTCTTCTTCGTCCTCAATGAGTGGCCAAAACATCAAGGGCACCATGCATGTGGCAGAGGATTTGACGAGGGTATCACGGCGGACGTCGATTGCGCGCTTCTTGCTTTGTCGTAGAGCATGACAGTGCAAAAAGCATCTTGCTTAGGATGAAGATGAGCCAACCATGACGATGATGATAAGAAGACAAAAAATAAGATGTGGCTGCTTCATGGCAGCCAAAATGCAAAAGAAATTGACCAGCCTGGGGGTCGAACCCAGAATCTCCTGATAACACATTTAGTCGTAGTCAGACGCCTTGCCATTGGGCCAACCGGCCATTGATACAAAGACGAGACTCAGCGTCGTTCTTGAAGCCTATCCTTACGCCAACCGGCGCGATGCCGAATTCAGGACCAGCCGTGGACCAAAAGACCTTGCCTTCAACGGAATCTGCTGTTATGTGATATTCCAAGTCTTCGCCAGCATTTCTTAGCTGTCAGTGATAAGACTGTGAGTGCTCGCGATGTGAGAATCATTCGAAGCTGTCTCTGTGGGTACCGAATATGCAATAAAGCGATCCACCCAGACAAACACTTATTCACTGGCACTGCAAGATCATCTATAGCAAGAGAGAGCAAACATGGACGCATCGTAATTTGAAATTTGTATTTCGTCGAGAAATGAAAAATTGTAGTCTTCTGGTCAGATATACACGGTGATGGGCACATTGCCGACCTTTCAAGATGTCGTTTCCTGACAGACCGATCGCTCACTTGCTGGGCTCGAATGGTGAGTTGCGTCGTTTGGCCATTAAACTCATAGGCCAAGAAAAGACAAGAGTCGACTTCCTCGGCAATTTACAAGGATCAGAGGCTGACTTCAAGTAGGACCCGTTCATGCTGTCTCATATTCAGCATCGCCAGGAACATACATCCTCACCGGTTCAGCGGACCGCAACATCAGGCTCTACAACCCGGCATCTCACAACCAGCCCCAGCGCTACGGCTCAGCCATCAACAGCAGCAAGACGCCGGGAACCACCAAGCCCGCCGTCCCCGAAGCCCGCCTCATTCAGACCTACACAGCCCACGGCTACGAGGTCCTCGACCTCTCCGTCTCCTCTGACAACGAGCGGTTCGCCTCCGTCGGCGGCGACCGCGCCGCCTTCCTCTGGGACGTCGCCACAGCCAAGACGATCCGCCGCTTCGGCGGCAACGCGCACGGTCACACGGCGCGCGTCAACTGCGTCTCGTTCGCCGGCGACGGGGACTCACTCGTCATTTCCGGGGGCTTCGACACGAGCGTGCGCGTATGGGACGCCAAATCCAACTCGGCAAAGCCCATCCAGGTCTTGGACGAGGCCAAGGACGCCATCACGGCGCTCGCGGTGAGGGACGCGGAGGTCACTGCGGGCAGCGTTGACGGGAGGGTGAGGAGCTACGATGTCCGGATGGGGCGTTGCGTGACGGATGTCATTGGGGCGAGCGTGACGAGTCTCAAGCTCACGCGGGACGGCAAAGCCATGTTGGTCGGATCGTTGGACAGCAAAATCCGGCTGATGGACCGGGAGAGCGGGACGTGCCTGAAGACGTACGCCGATGACGGATGGAGAAATGAGGAGTTGCGCGTGCAGGCCGTCCTCGGTAGCAAGGAAAAATATGTCATTGCAGGCGATGAGCTTACAGCCGGCACGGGACCTTCGGGTTTGAACGGTGACGGCAAGATATGGGCGTGGGACCTCTTGACGGGCAAGCTGGTTGCAACGGTCCGGGTGCCGTGCCCAGAGGGCTTCGAGCCCAAGAAGAGAATGCTAGGTAAAGATGGCAAGGAGAAGGAGAGGAGCAACGTCATCAGCTGCATGGCCTGGAGGGCCGATGGATGGGGAGATCAGTTCTGCGTCGGTGGCACGTCAGGGATAGCTACTGTCTTTGGTTCACTCTAGAAGTCATATATGATGCATCGCTATGATATAATCGCAACAGTGATGAGGTATCGTCATTCCGGACGTTCACGTATCTAACAAAATGTTCCAAATCATACAGAGTCATGTCCGTCTCTGACCCCGTGGTACTCTACACACACAAGTGGATGTTCCGCAGACGCCCAACACCAATGTACCCAGATGCTTCCCTGGAAATCCCCAATCGGTGCCAACCAAAAATTACATAGAACAGCAATCGTGCTTTGAAACCACTTCGGTTGATTAGTCCATGCCGACATACTTGAACCAGTTCGGGCGGCAGTCGTCCTTGTGCAGCCAGGCCTCGCCATCAGTGAAGCGGCCTGTTACGCAGCCCTTGCACTTGTTCGAGTTGGGGCAGTTGAAGAAGGGAATGTGCTGGTATCCGATGTCACGGAACCTGGTGCATGTTAGTTGACTGATCTTCCGTATGGAGCTTCGTGAGGCTTGGCAAAACGTACCAGTGAATCTTGGACTTGTCCTCGAAAAGGCCCAAAGCAATGCTGTGGACAGGAGCATCGCCCCATCTTTCGTAGAAGAAACCCCCAGCGCGGTCCAGATGCTGGAAGTAGTCCTCATACGCTTGGCTCCTCCAGAAGTCAATGTCGGCAATCTCAAAGTTGCTCCAGAAGTGACAGGTAGAGTAGCCATTCGCATCAACGTTGTTCTCGGGACGACCAGCCTTGTCGGTGAGCCAGTCCATGGCGTTGTTCTCATGGAGGTATTCGGGGTGCTGCGCGAGGAACTTTCTAGTCTCGGGCCACAACGTTGGGATGGACTTGGGCGCGTCGTACAGGTTGACGGTGAAACCATATGTCTTGTTGTTGTCCTGCATGTAGCGGAAGACATCGTAGTCAACGTCGCAAAAGAAATGGACCTTAGGCTCGACACGCCAGTAGTACTTGGTGTGCTGCAAGGCAGGGTGCCTATAAAACATGCCACTGTTCCAGCGGCACATGGAGTGGTACGAAACCTTATCGGCGTACTGAATGTCGTTTTCCTTGAGGATCTTGACGGACTCTTCGTACAGGTCTTTGTTGATCCAAGAGGGCATCTCCCAGTGCTCTTTAGGGATGAGTTCTAACAAGTTTGATTAGCGCGAGAATTGCGTAAGGAATCGTCGCAAAAGCTTACCGTATCTGCACTCAGCCTTGGTGGCCGCCTGAGTCCTTCTCTTGAACTCATCGCTGAAGGGAACCTCATTGAAGAACGTCCATGGGTAGTTGAACTTATGGTTCCAGGTTCTCTCGAGATCGACCATTGACTGAATCATTCCATCTAATTCCTCGTTTCTGACCAGCGCCAACAATGTGGCATTGATGCGAGCGGAGTCTTCGATGCCGGGGGCATATTTGTCGGAGACATATGTCAGAACTCCTTGAGGTTCACCGGTAGCTGTGCACGGATATTGTCGTCAGCGATCTATGCGATGACTGTAGTAATTGCAGGCGCAACTCACGATCCAAGTTGGGGTCCCGTCCATTCTCGTAGCGCACTGGCTTCTGGCTTATCGGCCTTTCGGGGCCAAAGATCTGGTAAAGGAAGAAGCACCAAAGCATCACGGCGGCTAACGCCAGAGCTCGAACTGGGCGGGCGACCGCCATTTTGGCAGATGGATTGGAAGCAAGCTAGCAGTCGTGGGAATGATGTGGGAAGGCGGAGGTATCTCGACAAGTCGAGCCGTCGAGCGATGTCAGGTTCGACTTTTGCGCAAATAGTCAACGGCTAGCGGAAAAGCCAGGTCGTCGAAGTCGATCGAGTGGTGGGAGATTTCTCGGTCGCGGCTCGTGCCGTCGGTTTTTGAGGGCCGTTCGGTGGTGTGGAAGGGAGATTTGTTGACCACTAGGCCAGATTGAAGAGTGACGCGTAAAAAATCGGAAAAGGGGGCGTTGATGGCAGTTGTCCCAGGTCGTTGGATGCTTGAGGCTGATGTCACCCCGTGAAATTTGCCAATTAGCGTCTTGCATTGGGAGAACCAAGGACCTATGGGCGCTTTGTCCAGCTGTCGCACCCCTGTAATGAGCGATAAGGGAGGATCAGTACCCCCGCGCGCCCCTCTATTCGGCCGGCATCCTAACACCACCTGCGCACCAGATGGCTGTCGCGTGTACTTGCGACAAGCACTTCTACAACGCGTCTCCTGACGATGCCGACAGATTAGCTCAATGCCGACACATGGCCCCCTGTTTCTCATGATCTGACCTTGAAATCCTCCGCCTGGCTACTTCCGACGACAAACAATGACATTCGCTGCAAAGCTCGGCGCCTTGACCGACGAGCTGGTTGAGGTCATCATCACATCGACACCGGACAAGGTGGGAGACGGTTCATCCCATCTTGCATGGGCATACACAATGCAATGCAGCTCGGCCCGTCGCTAACACCAACGGCAGCACATCAGTCGAGAGCGCTTCAATTTATTGCGCGAGTCTTCGCATCGCAGTCTCAAGCATCACAACTTCCTGCGCACCAATCAATTCGACATTGACAAGCAGCTTGTCGGCCTGGAGGAGCGATTTAGGGTCCACCATCGTGAAGGCTTGGCAGATGCCTTCAAGGAGCGGCTCGATGCGTTATCAGAATTCCGAACGAAGTGGCACCCTGACATACTTCATTTTCTCCTCGAGCTTTCCGATAAGCCAACACAGAAAACCCGACTTAGCGACCTAGAACTCCTTCGAGAGCCCGAAAAAGACCTCGAACCGCCGCTTAGATGGGAAGACATCGCGAAAGAGGATGGATGGCACGAGGAAGCTGAGATATGGAACACCATTGACTACAGCGATCACTCTGGCGATGAATATGGCGAGGCCAAGTCAGATACATCAAGTGTATCTGGTGAGACATCTCTCTCAACTCTGGATACATCAGTTGGCCGGAGACCGGAGGCTTTCGAGATTGCCTCGTCTGACGAGGCAGCCCTCAAGGTTGTTCAGGATAGCCAGGCTTGGAGGGTGAAAGGCAAGAAGACTGCGTCTTCAGCTCGACCGCAAAAGGTCGCCATCACAGAGTTCCAGGCGATGAGAGAGGCCCTCTTCATGTTACAAGGCCTACCCACGACATTGTTCCAGAAAGATGGTCTTGCCGACCCGGCTTACCAGATATCCAGTCTTGAATGGGATACACACAAAGCCCTTGTGAGCAGCTTCGCGGAAAGCGGGCGCCAAGTTTCCCAAATACGAACTTTTTCGAAGAGACCCCAAACAGCGCCTCTCTTTCAGGTTTTCCGTGACAATGTCATTGCCTGTCTGCAATCCTTTGACGAAAGGTTATCCAATATCCAGAGTAGTCTGGCAGTGGCGCGGGAAGATACAGTCATCAGCATGGCAGCAGTCCTGGAGGAACTCAGACCAAGGATGGAACCTTTAGTATCTCTCTCAGAGATTATAAGGCAGCTTTACGATCCTGCGAATGGTGGAGCGTTCCGCTTTCTCGAGCTTGTCTACGATGAAATTAGCAGAGCCCAGCTCTCAGGTCGCGATTCGACTTATGACTTCCTAGGACGCATATTCTTCAACTGTTTTCAAGTCTATCTCCGACCAATTCGACTTTGGATGTCAGAGGGGCAACTCGTACCAGGCGATAAGATCTTCTTCGTGTCTGAGTCGCCAACCCAGGTTCCGCTGCGCCAGGTCTGGCAAGAACAATTCAAAATGAGGCGAACATCAGAAGGGGTCTTGCATGCGCCCAGCTTCCTGCAGCCAAGTGTTGGTAAAATCTTCACGGCTGGGAAAAGTATTGTTGTTCTCAAACATCTTGGAAAATTTGATGCACTTCGTCAACTCTGGGATGATCACGAACCCCCTCTAACATTCGAAGCGGTCTGCCCGCCGGGCCTGGAACTTGCACCATTCCCCGAACTATTCACATCGGCCTTCACTCTATGGATGCAGAGCAAATATCATGCGACCTCGGAAACTCTGAAACAGGCGCTCTTTGACTCTTGCAACCTAGAGTCGAATATTGGCGCACTGCATCACCTCTTTCTCATGGCTGATGGAGCTGCGGCTGATGAATTCTGCAAAGGCATTTTCGCCCGGCTAGACGCCCTCAGGCCCGATTGGCATGACCGATACTCCTTGACTGGTTTGGCTCAGGAGGCATTTTCGCCACGAGTTGATACCACCCGCCTCTTTGTCACTGTCCGGATCGAAGGCCAGAAGAAATCTGTTGTCGCTGGTCGCGATCTCATCCGTACGGCCTTGCCAGAAATCACCCTCCAGTACCGTCTTCCCTGGCCAGTGCAGCTCGTTGTCACCGAAGACACAGCTGCCCAATACCAAGCAGTTTTCACATTTCTCATGCAAATCAGACGCGCCATCGGCCTCATCCAACGCAACCGGATCCTCGAAGAGCTTGCTTCGAGAAGCGATGTATGGGGTAGCAAAGCGCTGTACTACCTGCTCCGCTCGAAGTTGATGTGGTTTTGTAACTGCATCCAGACATACCTGGCAACGCTGGTTCTAGCTCCTTACACAGAATCCCTCCGCTGGAAATTGCGAGAGGCCTATGATGTAGATGCCATGATCAGGCTTCACGAAGCCTTCGTGAAGCAAGTTATCGACGCTGCATGTCTCGGCAGAAAACTGGATCCCATACGCAGTGGCATCCTGGACATCATGGACCTAGCCGCGAAACTCGAGGACGCACAAAGCGCTAGCGTCGCCGAGGAGGCTGAGGAACAACAGGAGCTATCTCGTCTTTCCATCATGTCCTCGCCGATGAAAGCGAGTCCCCGCCGTCGAAAACCGGCTGTCTACGCCGAAGACAGTGACGACGAAGGTGCGGAGCGTCTCGGGACCAGAACCAAAAGGGGTGCAATTAATGCAGGCAAGGGCTACCTAGAATGCTTGCGGGAGATTAAGACGGACTTTGAGAGGCACCTAAAGTTCATTTGTGGGGGGCTACGAGGGGTTGCCAGGGCCTCAAGCGACGAGGCGGCTGTGAAATGGGACCTCCTGGCTGAAATGCTGGAGGTGGGTGTCAAGGAGGGCGCTTGAAGGCTTTGCCAAGTTGGTAGGGGACGGCTGGCAGCATTGAGAACTTGGTCGTGGAGACCCGCAAAACCATTAGAGTTTACAGAATTCCGGAAAAGGATAGGGATCGACATGGGATTCCTTGATTCCCATACTCCTGTCAAACCGCCGGGCCAACGCCAACTCATTCCCACTGCAGATGGGTCCTGCAGCAGATTGAAATTATTGGAATCCTGCAGAGATGATCAAGTTGACTTGGTGGGCGGTCAAGAGCAACATGAGACGATGCTCGGTAAGTGCCGCCAGGACACGAGGTTTACTGAACCGTATCGTGCGATGCCTCGACAATACCTTACAGCAGACTTGAGCTTCAACCCACTTCTCCTAGGTGTTGCATCTGATGAGCTGATTCGATCACTTAGGTAGTCTACCTTAGTTGGCTGTGGTCCCTGAAAAAGAGAGAACATCGTTCGCATAAAGGTGTGCTAGGCTGCTAGTGTGGTGATTCATGATTGCTAGCGTAGACCCTTGGAGTCGCAACCACGAGACTGCTCGTGCCGGAACCGACGGGAATCACAACACCACGACGGTGTTCACGATGCCGCCCGACGTACTTGTACGTCTCTCCGGCGGTATCGAGGCAAGATGGACTTCGTGCCCCTGCCCGCCAGGGGACGGGGTTCACTGATGCCAACTTTTCCCTCTCCAGACAGCCTCGAACCTTGGAACGAGCAAGATCGACGGTGGGGCCCAACGGTTGTGACCGGAAGCCAAGGGTCCCTTACAACGATTTTGGGACCAGAGGGGGTGTGAGTGTGTTGTTGTCGACGCCGACTGAGGCGCCGCCTGGCGAGCGGGTGAAAGACCTGCCGACATGTAACGTCTCTTTACTCTATAGACGTGCCCCCGCGCGTTTCCCTTGCGGAAGTCCATGATCCGTCTACGGTGGCCGTCCACGATTTGAGTTGAGTGTTGCGTTGGTGCCCGAGAGTATCCGTAAGAGCAAGGAACTGGGAAAGAGAGCCCAACTCGGGAAATTGAAGCTCAAGCCAGGGTGCTCGTGATCAGTTCTAGACTCTGCTGGAAGGTGGACCTTGGTTCTACACGTGAAGACAGGGAAAGTTGTTCTCGCGGGTTTGCTGAGGCTCGTCAGCGGTTGTTTCCGAGAACTTCACACGTTCTTTCAGGGCTGGCAGCATGATCTTGGCCGGTCTTTGGAGTAATCCATTTCTAGTCGAGTAGCCAATAACTAACAACAGCAAAGTATAGCCTGAAACCTCCTCGTTCGTGATCATGGAAATGGCCTTTTAGAAGCACCTCACGAATGAGGTGAAGATACTGGTGCCTTCATGAGACTCTTGGCAGGAATGGTCACATGTGAAACGGTTTGAAAGAAACGGAAGTTGAATGTTTGTGCGAACATGACCGTAATCAGTAACCGGGTGTTTTGTTTCGCCGGCTTCCCGAAACGGCACGGTGCCCCACCATCAGTGACATCCGCCACAGCTGCACGGTTTGCCTGAGAGATATCAACACCTCCAAAAACTATAACGACAACCTCGCTTTCACCCACAATTGCGCCCACCGAACCCGAATCTATCGTCGCATAACCTTGCGGAAGCCCATCGCTCAAAATGTCTGAACGCAAAGTGCTCCAGAAGTACTACCCCCCGGATTTCGATCCCTCCGCCCTCACGCGTAAGCGCGGTCCCAAGCAGACCGGCCCTAAGGTCCAGACCGTCCGCATCATGGCGCCCTTTTCGATGAAGTGCACGACGTGCGGAGAATACATCTACAAGGGCCGCAAATTCAACTCCAGAAAGGAGACGAACCAAGCAGAGCGATATCTCAACATCCAGATTCACCGCTTTTACCTGAAGTGCACGCGGTGCTCGGCGGAAATCATCATCAGGACCGATCCCAAGATCGCCGACTACGCCGTAATCAAGGGCGCGATACGGAACATGGAACCCTGGCGCAACAAGGAGGGCGAGAAGGAGAGCGTCGACGAGAGGCTGGACCGGTTGGAGCGCGAGGAGGCTGAAGCCGCGGGCGAGGAGGAGAAGAACGCGATGGCGGACCTGGAAGCCAAGAACGAGGACGCGAGGCTGGAGATGGCTGCCGCGGACGCGCTCGACGAGATCCGCCAGCGCAACACGCGCATCCAGCGGTCTGAAAAGGATGGCGTGGATTTCTCCGAGTACGTCGTCAGGCCCGAGGACGAGGAGAGGGCGAGGCAAGAGAAGGAGGACGAGGAGGCTGCGCGGAAGGCTTTCGCCGCTGCGAGGGAGAGGCTTGGAGAGGAGATTATCGACGACGATGAGTTTGAAGGAGGGGTCATTGGTGGACCATCAGCAACCACATCCTCCTCCTCATTATTGGCGGTGGCAGCGTCATCCTCAATGTCAGGGGAGAAGTCGGAGACTGCTGCACCGGCGGGGACCGTGAGGGATACTTCAATGATGCCGCCGCCGCCGCCTCCCGCCAAACGCGTGGTGAAGAAGAAGAAGGATTACTCTGCGGCGCTTGGCATCAAAAAGAAGCCTTCGCTGGTCTGAGAGTTGTGTGCCATATGGGAATACAAGCCAGGGCGTGGCTGCAGCAATTTTTGTTTTCGTTTCTCCCCCCTGACTCTTTGTCGCTGCCCACCTGCATCACCGCGCAGGGGAAATGGAGAGCAGCTGCACGTCATTTTGCTCTTTCATATCATGAATAGGGCTGTTATTGTACTTGGTGGTAAACTTTAATTTTTGGGCATGGCGTTTCGGAAAACGGAGATTTACCGCACAGACTCTTTTCCGCAGGGTACATAATCAAGGCATTGGGTGGACAGACGGTTGATGGCGTAAGGGTACACGTACAAGGACAATGTACGGAGTAGGTACTAGACGAATATTGAGCGATCAAAGGCAACACCGACACAAGGGGTCGAAGCCCACCCCCATTCCCCGCCTCTCGTTCTATCTCCCTTTGACTTTTCATTCTTCGGACGATGAATACCTAGCGAAATAATTAAACTCTAGCCATCCAGCATTGTTGAGACGTCACTTTCGACCGTTCCCCCTCCTCCTCTCGCTTTGTACGTCGCACTATTTTGTCCTTTGCTGTGTTCTAGATGTTCCTGGGTTGTCTGTGCTTTTTTTTTTCCTTTTGCGCATGCTCCACTGTCGATCTTCCACCTTGACAGGTCCAGCGCTGCGAAAGCTGATGCGTATGTGTGCGTGCGCGCGCATGTTCGCGTTTGTGTGTTGAGCTTGTGAATAGACTCCAAGGTTCGGTAATGCAACCGACCTCTTGGCTCTCTCTCTCTCCCTCTCTCTCTTTCTCTGTGGGTTTCTTCTTTAGTGGGCGATTCAGAGTTTGGGTGTCTGGATCGCGTCGATCGTAGCAGGGTTGGTGGCTCCAAGTAGAGATGGAAAGGATGGCCGCCCTTTTAGGGAGTATCTGCTGGAAGTGGTCGCAAGTCCTAGATTGTGGAGGGATGGTGGAAGTGTATGAGATGTAATCGTAGTATGTTGTTTTGCAGTACCCCGCAGGATTGGTCATGAATTTACAATGGTGTGAAGATATGTATTGATCGTATGCTAACTGGCCTTTGTGACATATGCGCATCAGAAGAGTTGTGAGCTGTTCTGGGTAAGGTCGGCTATTGGGTGCAAAGATAATGAGACATCACAAGTGAGCGAAGTTGTAGTTGATTTTGTAGCGATTGTAATGATTTATTCGTTCTTATCATAATCATGGATGATCACCCTCGACATCACGGGGTGAAGCTGCCCGATAACCATCAAACCACCAACGCCTGAGGGTTTCCCCTTATAAACAATACCCGCCATCTTAAAGCAAACTCTTTCGCGCCAAATGCTAATATTGCCAGATTCTGATTCCATCGCGCTAATGTCGTGCTAGACCGAGTTGGTTCTGTTGTCTGCTATTCGCAGTCGCTGAAAAGAGGCTCTCAAGCCGATGAAAAGACCGGTGTGATAAGCCGAAGACCCGGTGAAAAGGGTCAATGGTTGGAGTAGCCATTACGATGTATGAAAAATGATTTAATACGATGAATCGTGGCTGGATGAGGAGTGGTGAGAGTTGTGAGGGTAACTCGTGCGGCCGCCGGATCTTCTCGTAGAGGAGCGGTTGGCAGCCTCCATCTGGCGCTTGGTGTGCTGGTGCATCGAGCGCATGTAGGTGGAGAGATCTGATGGAGGAGGAGGAGAGACAGGGATGGAGACGGAGTAGGCGTCCTGGCGAGCGGGCATGGTGGAAGGGCTCATGGAGGCGATTTAGATACAATATGTGGTGTTGTTGGATAGTAAGCCGCTGATGAGAGGCTTAAGGCGTGTGAGGAGTAGTTGTGGGTTGGTAGATTGCTTCCGGTAGTTGGATGTGATGAAGCGTTGGGTAGATATAGAAATTTGTAGATGTATTTAAGAACGGTGTGAAGTTGTTGTTATTGAAGCTGGGTGCGGATGAAACGGAATTCGAAATACGGTGGATGGCAGGAAAGGTCCTGGGTTTATAAAAGAAAATAAGAGGGGCGAAAAGGCTCGCTGCAAGGCTTGTCGTGGAGAAGAGGTGAACACAGACGTAGGGAAAGTTGGGCAGGACGGGGTCGTGTGTGTGGTGGTGGTGAGCAGCACGTCGCCCATCAGGCAAAACACAGGGTCCTCCGTCACTAGCGGATGTTGCAAGCTATGGGACCTACGCTAAGGTACACCCCCCCTCCCTTTTTCTCAAGGGTCGAGGGGGAGGGGGTCTGAGTGTGGGAAGAGACGAGATTGAGCAGCGCAGAGTAGAGCAACTTGCCCACGCACAGAGAGTGAGAGAGAAAAGCAGGCACCGTTCCTTCCTCTTCACCCCCTCATCCCTCCCACTCAGCAAAGAGGAGCTGCTGCATATCCCGCCTACACTCAATTCGCTAGGGATCGGCAGTGATTGACGGCGTCTTAGCGTTCTGCTGTACCCCCGGGTGAGGCCTGCACGATATGGCGTAACTGGGCCGGGGGTCGAGGCGCAAGGGGCCAATCAAGCAGACCTCGCCCACTGCTGGGTTTATTGCCACGGACAGGGCTGATGATGCAGTAAGCGGTACGGTGATACACTGCAGGGCACAAGAGAGGTGGTTTGCGGGTGCGGGAGGTGGCCGAGAACGGAAAGACCCTGCTGATCAGTTGTCCACACCGAAAGTCACCGGGCATGTCTACCGGTACCTACTGGCCACACATTCTCACGCGTACCTACGGAGCACAGCTTGTTCCTCTCTGCCTTTCGCGCTTCTTTGGAGTAGCTGTCGACATGTCAAAATACCTGCCCCCCGAATCTCGGACAAAGACAGCGACGATCAGTCCCCTCTCCATTTCGCTTTCCTACCCTTGGAGGTTCTGGACCGGCGGACGGGGCGTGGAGCTGGACGGGAGACCCTGAGAAAAAGAGGCTTGAGGGGTTTCTGATCCATGTCCCATCAATACGTCGAGATAGACATGGCCAGACTGCAAGCGAATAGGATTGTCTCGAACATCGTGCCCATCCCGACGCCAAAGGCTCAAAGGTGTGTTGGACCCTTGATTTTTTGGCCACCCCATGACCTTACAGGAAGACGGCATTATCGAAAGCTTGAAACCTCCCCCAACTCTGATGGAGGGTCGGCATGTTCGTTGTACGATTGTGCTGCCACAGCTGCATGATACGTCTATCTCATCCAGGTCCAGGGGAAGCAAGCAAGCTCACGGCTAGGTCGCCATCCACAAGCAAGCAGCTTGCGCGAACGAACGACGATGAGGGTTCAGGCCGGGGGGTCACAAGCCAGCCAAAACGAAGCGTGTTCACATTAAAGACAGGCGCTACTGGCACTTGACCAGAGCTTCCCTAGTCAATAGGTCAATGACGGGAAAGAGATGGGTGGTAGTAAGTCTTGTCTTGTTTAGAGTAGCAGGAATGTGGTGTAAGGGAAGTGAAAGGTTGGCAACGGCGCGGCCAAGCAGTAGCCAAGCAAGACTTGTCGTCAAAGATCGGCGGGTGGAGCAGACGTCATTGGCCGAAGCGTCTGCGTCGGCCGGACCCCGGGTGTGGACGTTGCTGCCAGTGGGTCCGTCCAGTGTCCCACCTTCCTTCTTTTTTGCCCTGGTCGTCCGCCGTCGCCCTCAACCTTTCGGGCAGTGGAGACTTCACCTTTCACCACTACTATGTGCAACTTGGCGTCCCTGGTCTGTGCCGGGGCGCGGACACCATGCCGTCAAGGCAAAAGGCACGGATCCCAAACAAGAGTGTGGAAGGCTAGCCGCCAAATCTGAAGCCATTCGGCAACTTTTTTGGAACTGCTACCTCCCGGGTCCCCGCCGTCTTTGAGGGCTATCATTGGTTTGATCCTCGTGTTAGTGGGAATACTGTCCAGATCGTGACCATGCTTGCCCAAGGGCCAGGGACGTACCTGTAGGAAATTCCCATGATGCCCTCATGCCCACCATCCTCCGTCGGCATGGGAATTTGAGAAATTTGCCATGGCGGCGAGACTGACTTCGGCACTCTTGGGCCTCAATTTCCCATTCCCCCCTCCCCTAAGAAATGATGAGGATGGGAATTGCCCCCTTCTCCCCCCTTCGGTGGCAACCCTATTCAGCAGAGGCCTCTGCGCTGATTCTCATGATTCCCGTGTCAGGGGCATCTTGACGTGCGGCTTGCCCCATCACGCCCTCCCACACTTGACCTGGTCCCACCGGATATAGCCCATGCCGAAGCTATTCAGAGTTGAACACTAAGCCAGCAAGGTGCCAAGACCAGCAACAAGGAAGCTCTGAACAAATTTCGGCCCTCGACATCACGGAGCCGGGTCACGGAGGAGCAGACAAGGTTCATTGTACCGTAGGCCGCATTCGGTCTTGATCTGACCCTCACCGAGAAATTGGAGACGTTTCTCTTCGGGTGAGAGATTTACCAGGACGTCAGGGGTCTGCGAACTAAAGCTCCGATATACGCTGGGGTTGAAAGGCCGGGGAGATCTGACAAGAAAGAAAACACTCTGTCGCTAAAGGAAAGCAACCGAAACGGCGGGTTTGCGCGTTTGGAAGCTATGTAATGGCCCGGAACCTCATTGGAGCATAATTGGCCTCTCTCGACCGTGGCGAGACAGTCGTGACGGAAGGTACGCGATACGCAGTAAACCGTAACGTAAGATAGACAGCCGGGGGGATCGCGAGAAGGGATGGATGCTCTCAGGGGGGGATGGAGGATGGGCCATGGATGGATGCATGTGGCCAGGACGTATCCGTTGCGACGGATAGACCTCGAACCGGCCGTAGCTTGTACGAATAGTGGGAGTGCATCCGTAGGCAGACGACAGAAATTCAGACTTTGGGGCTGGCTGGATGGGACACACAGACGTCAAGGCTGACGGAAGGCAGCTCGTCCTTCCTCTCAGTTTGTTCGGCCTTGCCTCAGTTTACGTCGTTGGAGCTGTTTGGAGGTTGGTGTGTCGTCAGGTCTTGCCAATCAAGTCTCGTGTGAAGTCACGCTGCGCCACTAACCCGGCGCCCTATGATGTCACTCGCTGCTCTTTTTCTCACCCTGGTCCGACGGTCGGATACCCCCCTGCTTTTCGCTTTAGTTAACCAATCAAAACGTTGGAGCGAGCGTTTTCTTCCATTTTCTCCCCTTCCTCCCTGGTAACGTTTTGACAAGCTGCTCCGTCACACACCACAAACACGCCCCCCTTTCCCCCAAAAGGCTCAAACGCTGGTCCATTCCGTCACAGGAAGGAATGATACGCGCGACGACCTCATAGCACCACAGACAGCACCACAACTTACGTCTTTCTACGTCTCGATACGTCGACAGCCCGCTTAGACCGAGTTCCACGAGGCGGAGAGAAACCCTCTTCTCTCTCAGATCTTCAAAGATTTGCACGTTTGCTAGCTAGAATGCGGCTCCCGTCTCGCTTCGCTCGAGCATTGCTGCATTGTCTGTCATGCACACCTAGCTGCTATTAGAGCTAGATTCTTTTTTTTCCCTCTCTTCGCATCACCCCTTGCCACAGCTTCTCTCATCATCGTGCGACCCTTACGACGGCTGACAATGAAGAAAAAAAAGCCTCCCGTCTATACTATGGGGGCACCCATGAAGCAGTTCCCGCCACCTGCATCATACCATGACTACCCACACTCTCTATGAGCTCCCCTCAGCCTCGAATGGAGACACAGGCCCGCGCCAAGGTTCCAGACCCTGACTCTTGTCTGACCCGGACCACAAGAAAGAAGGAGAGCTCACATACCTCAAAGTGATATGAACGAAACTGTTTCTTTGCGCGTCCGCCAAAGGTATGCCATCACACGTGATGACGCCATGCCTCTCACCTCACCTCATCTCTACCGGCCGCTATGCCCGAAGAGCTGGCACACACAATCAGATCTCAATCCTCCTACTTTGGGCGGATGGTCGTCTGTGACAGCATACCAGTACTCAACGACGACCCCTGAATTACAGCTGGCAAATATGTACTAGCTAGGAGGGTTGCTTTCGCCCCTGCGTCCTCAACTCTCGGCCACGGTAGGATCCGTCCCAACGGCTGGACCACGCAGTATGATCAAATGGCCCGCATAATGACATCGATCTCGCCTGCGATGGGCCCTTGATGGGGGCCGAGGGGTCGTGGAGGTCTGGGGAAACATCCTCTGAAACGTCATGAATGATGTTATACTACCTCTAGAGAATGGTTCCCAACCGGACATCTATGGCTTCCTCTACGCCTGAGAGAGTTGTCGGCCGACGCCTCGTCCACAATGATGAGCCCCGACCTCGAGTCCCCGATCCACCGTGAGAGTATCAAGGTCCACGTACCCTCAAACTTAGCGATGATAGTCCTAGGCTCGAGCATCACTGAACCGCCTGATTGAGGCCAGAGAAGATAGCAGCACGCCGAGTCCTCTTCTTCTACTGCTTCTTTGATCCCCAAAACCTCTCTGACCGTCCCGGTGCCTTCCCCCGCCACTCTACGGCACCTCTGCGTCCGAATTTACTGGGGCCCAAGGGGGTTGAACTTGTCGCCCAACGAGATCCTCGCCGCTAACCGTCCCAGTAATGATTGGCTGTTGCTGAGCTCTTCGGCGATCCTCCGTCATCCTGACGGCCTTTCCGACTCCTCAGGCGCGACCCTCTCTGCGATATTGAAGCTTGCTCGTTAACTACGGGACTCGGGTAGAATTTGGGTAGGCATCGAGCACCGAGCGTCTTTTACATCTCAATACTGAACATCGAGATCGAGATACAGCCGCGGTCAAAGTAGGGTTGTATGGTCGATGTGCGTGTTTCGCAGCAAAAGGGGTCTGTGGCGGTTGACCCGTCTGTCTGCTATATCATATCAGCATTGGGGACTTGTTGGTTTTCAGTCTCTCTCCTTATTATGATCCATAGTACGTCACTATCACGCCGATTCGGGCCACAACGTAGGCGGATTTCAGCGTGGAAGAAAAGGTTGCGATGGAGGAGTGCTCCATATTCACTGCCCCAGACTTTTAGAATCCTATCGGAGGTGTACCACGCCGTACCGGTCAGTGAATCAGGCGTTGTTGTAAGTGCAACCTAGAGGACCTCATGGTCCTACTAAACAACGCCTGTGCCGTCATTCTGGCCCCCAGATCCAATTATAGTTGGTCATGAAAGTGGGTGTCGCCCAGCGCGGGAGTGCGTCGTGACTGGCGATTCTTCGTCATGGTTTAACTCTCGTAATCTCACCTTAAGATTTCTTGGAGCAGTCTCTTGGGCCATCTAGAGTGTAATCCTTCGTGAGAGGAGACCTATGGCGCTCTTGCCAGTGGATTTCGACTCACATCAGATTGTCAACCTTGACGGCATTTCGACAAAGCAATTGTGGTGTGTTTGCCTATCCGTTCTTTAAAAAGCACGCGAGCGTGGCGGGAAAGCTGGCTGATCGTCATATTTAAATCGCCACTATCATCATCCCCTGACGGTCGTATCCTTGTTGAGGGGGATTTCACTCAAGGTCTGGGCCAAGTGAGCACATCACGAGAGTGGTTTTGCTTAGTTGTATGGTTTATTTGGTGGTGGTTGCCCCCGGAGCTGATGAAAAGTCTTCTTTTTATCATAGCCTGCCATCGCGTAGCACATCTCTTCAATATGAGGAACAAGTCACAAGGAGGGTTGTCTTTGTATCTCAAGTAAGTAAACGTACGACTCTAGCGTGGCCGAGTTTGTGATTACCGAAACACAAGTCTCAAAAGGGAAGGCAATTTTTGGAGCATTCGAGTATGCAATTCTTACTCTGACCTCGGAAATCGGCACTACCCCTATGAAGACCGGTCGGTACTCGGATCAGTGAGGGACCATTCGACCGTGGACCAATAAAGGGCTCTATTGAAGTCATTTTTGAGAGATAACCAGATCTACTTGCTCCTTCCTTGAAGCATACCAACGCAAGCCACCCAAATGGTAGAGTACCAGATATATCCCTGAATCTTCTCGAATCCGAAAAGCCCAGCAGGTGGTATAAGCCTTCGGCAGCAAACGGGATAACTATTAGCTTATTTTACGTGATACCATCATTCTCAACCCACTACAAAATAGTCCCTGCCCAGGTGCATCATATTGAACTTTCCTTTGATGGTATGATGATTTGCCGAATAACTTTTTCACATCCTGGTGATAGTCTCCAATTCAATGCACATTGCAGTGGTCGAAGTGACGTTAAGGACCAAAACCACCTATGTAGGGTAATCTATCTTGCACGTGTCGGTCAAGAGGACACGCGGGCAATCGTCCTTGCCGTAACCAGGATAGAAAAATGAGAGAGACACCAGACTACACCTACCAGATGAGAATGCCCATGGCTCATAAAAACGGCGCGTCCTTCTCTCCCAACTCGTCATGGTGGCATATCGTCAGAAAAGCGCAACGTGGAAGGTTGTACAAGCCATTAAAATGGCCCTTCCACCCACCTACTTCCACTTCAGGTGAATCAGTGGGCTCGGCAAACTTCTCCATCCTGTCACATCCTGATGATGCAGTGCAGCATACGATATCACCCACTTCGTCCCGGCCGAAAGGCTGCCCTTCTAATGTATGTACCAATACGCCCACTGCCTACTTACAGCAAGGTTCCTAAGCTCCTCACTCAATTCCAACCGCGAAAGCGAAGCAGGTGTGCCTTTGTTGCTGTGCTCACATCAACCCCTCCGAGTGACACACGGTTGATTTCCTCCTCTCTCGTACAACGATGGTGGGCACATGATTCAGATGAAACCACCACACATCAGATCTGACACGGTATTTGAGAAATTTGTCTACATGAGATTGTGATCTTGGGATGCTAACTGGACTTCCAAGGGAGTAGGCACGGAATCGACCGCCCGAGAAATATTGTTCAGACGCTTGCGTTCCTGAGCAAAGACCTGCGTAGTAGCGACGAATTACAATACGACTTGTCCAACAAATACGCAGACGGGAAGGAGGATGACGACCGTTGAATCCATCAACGTGTGTCACGATAACTCCCGTCTGATCTTACCTAAAGGACCCTTGTCTCGCCTTACAACAATCGACAGCCCAGGTCGATCTTTTGCCGATCCTCCACCAACCCCGCTGCCGGAGTGTTCTGAGTCGCCGCAGACCATCGAATAGGTCTAGGTTTGGTCTGTATATCAGTCATCCCAGACCCTGCTCCCAATTGAGGGAATCGGAGGGTCATCGTGGTTCAGCCATGGCTATCATGTCCTCCAACCAGTTGGACGGTGAGTTCGCTTGCAGAAAGCCAAAGTGTACGAATGCATTAGTGTTCGGACTGGGAGACCCCATTGAGTTGTGCGCATTGTCGATCTCTTGGAGCAGACAAACACTCTTGCGGCGACAAATCACATTGTGCTCATCCAAGGTGGCAGAAGGGTGTTCATGAGAGGACGACGGTGGGCGATCATTCCTGCAAACTCCCATTGCTGGTGTTGCGCAGTCGATCAGCTGAAGCCAATAGACCACGGCCAGGCACCATTCCTATCACCACTAAAAGCAACTTGACGATGTCGGCATCCCACGCGGAACCTTGGCGTTCACACAGTACTCTGGTGCTGATTATATGAATGCAACATAGGCTTGGCTCTGAGGCGCATTAGGCGGGCAAACCTTGCCTTGACGACTCATTGACGCCGATTTTGTTGCTGAAAAGGTCATTGGGAGGTGAGACAAGCTTGAGCCTCATTCCTATCCGGATTTGGGTCAGTTCCAGTCATTTAGGATTCACTTTCACCTCTAAATTCCCTCCTTGAACCAAGTCTGTTGCGCAATAAGCCGGATCACCCGCTGGATCACCGACGAGCAGTAATTTGGGCTTTGCGCACATATTCACCGTCAATATCTCCTCTGCAGCCTGTGGCCTCGTGGTGAAGTTCAGATGGCGTCCATTTTGGGGTTTATACGTTCCGGACGGCCATTGGCGAAGACACTGGTAGACTCCGGATGCCGAGCATCGGAAACAAAAGGCCGATGTTTCATGGTCTCCTGCAACTCAGTACTCGCAGTGGCGGGGTTGTGCCAGCCACCAGGTCAACATGGATTCCTTGAAGCCAGGCCGGCTGCATCCGTTTCCCCATTTCTTGGGAGCGCCGTAGCAGAAAAGATCATTCTTCATTGTTTTTGATCTCGCAAGTCACGGGGACTTTTGTCATTGGCTTACACTCAACTATCAGCACGGAAGAGAGCCGGAGCCCATCTCAACACAACGTGATTGGCTTTGACCGCAATGACCAGTCTCTAGGAGAAGACAGTAAGGGCGCATCCCCAACACACAGACCTCGGGTTAAGCCCAGAAACTATGCCGGCGTCGCATAAGCATCCCATCTCTTAGCTGACTACTCCAGCCAGCGAAAATGATCGCCAACCTTTATCTCCACAGACTCTGCCAATGCAATATTGGACAGGTTCAAAGGGCCTTTCCCGGGGTCGCTTGGGAGGATATAGAGCACAGAAGGCAATAGCGGGATAATGCTTGAGATCTCGGCATGGTGTATCGTTATTTCAAGCAAACACCCAAGGCGGACAGAGGGCGGAGAACTCACGATCCCTCGGCTGGGCGCGATGTCGCAACATGCAGTCGCAGCTTGTTCCTGTTAAGTTCAAATAAGGACAACCCTGCATAATCCAGGTACAGGCTCTCCCCGTCCATCGACGCGCATCTCCCGAGGCCCAGGAAGTGTGGTCGCGGGCCAATGCTTCATGCAGCAGGCAATTGCGTCTTGTAACAATAGTGCTAAGACTGCGTTTCACCCTGGATCGACAATGTTTCCGCACCCACGGATGACCCCCAAGGTTTACTTGAGGCGAAAAGAGTAGGCGCCCTAGATAATGTCTGGGCAGGTCGCTCAAAGGCAAGATGAGCGTGGCCTGAACTCTTTTTCTTTCCTGTTAAACGACGTTGTGGTTGAGCCAGGTCTTTCCGCTTGGCCGTGTTGTTCTTATTCATTCCTTTCTTTCTTTCGATTCTAAACACAGTAGCGACTTACTGTCCGCTCCTTCAAGATATTTCTTAATAATGTTGTCCAAGGCTATTGCCGTCCTGGCGGCGGCGACGTTGACGTCGGCCGCTACGCCCATGGGCTTTATGCCCCAATCAAACACTCCCCTAATTGTTTCTTACGGAGGCATCTCGGCACTGGATGGCGTGAACCTGCCTAGAGATTGTAAGTTTTCACACGGTCGAGACCAAAGAGCGAGGTCAACCTAACAAGAACCCAATAGCTAGTCAGACGCAACCCACAATTGCGACCGAGCAGCAGCTCAAGGGCCAGTATGCAGTGATAATGGTGGATATCGACGTCCCGACCAACCAACCTCCCAAGACCGGAACTCTCCTCCACTGGATGCAGACCGGTCTAATGTCTGCCGATACCCC